ATATATATATACACATAGATTTTACTAACTGTTCATACGGGAATTTAAAATGAAAAAAAAAGATTTTTTTCTTATCGAAGGAGAAGGAAATTCACCAAAAATAACGTTTTTAAAAAAATTACTTTAATATTTAAGATAAAAAGTCAGCAAACAAAATAACGAAAAGTCAGAATTTCAACAAGTATTGATATATTTTACTTTGGTTATATTAATACAATACTAGAATGCACTGAATGAAGTAGGCGTTACCATTCGCCTCATTCCATTCATACAGGGAGCGAACGCTCCGTTCTGATATCGCCTCCGTGTACATTTCATTAGCGCCGTAAGTAGATGTGAAACGATCTCGTATTTTTTCATGTTGTTTGGCTGGTTTCGATACCAGCCTTTCACTGAATCAACTGATGTGTTACCTCACTAATAAATAATAATGAGCCTCACTAATAAACATTATATACATAAGTACGAATCACTGATTTGTCATAATAGATACAATCAAATTCGTTTAAAACTTTAAAAGCAAAATTGAAGTCTTCAAATACAGTTGTTGAACTAAGTTTTACGATTCAATCGCATAAGTTGGCTGGTATTTGAAAAGAATATTTTCCTAATATTCTTGTAGAGTTTCAACTCCAAATTCTGGTCTAGGTCAGTGGTCGTACTCGTAAGTTCCTACCATTTAATACGCTTTGAATTTTCTTCGAAAACTAAGTATTTTATTAAGGTTTAGATTATTTCATGCTTTTAGTGAGAAGCACATTTTGTGACATAATAGTAGCTTTAATTTCTTATTAACAATCACAAGATTCATATTCAAAAAAATGTGTGAACTGAAGAATTTTATAGCTACCGTTTATTTTTATAAAAAATTTTTTTTTAATAAAATCTCTGAAATTTTAAATATTCTGCATTATTAAAAATCCGTGTGGTTGCAGTCGAGGTCGATGACTAGAAGAATTTGAGATAAATGACAAAGCACAAGTCAAATTTTTCCAGCACTTGGGGGTAGTATAAGATGATTCCAAAATGATAAAAGTTAATATAGGGAAAGTATCGGGATTATAAAGAAAAAAGGTCATAAAAGCTTTTTTTTTTTTTTTTTTAAAAAAAGCAACATATCCTTGTTACGACTGATTTGGATATTAGACATCAAAAGCCTGCAATACGTTAAATATAATCCCTAGAGTTTGACGGACAAAATCTTCAACCCTTAAATGCCAATTTACCTTTTGCATATTTTGCCATAAATATGTTATATTCTCAAGAGAATCGTAAATTTTGTTCATCTTAAAATAATTACAAAGAAAGTGTTGTTTTCTAATTTAAGTTTCATTAGATACTAGTTTTGATAGATATCGATTAAACAGTTACTGAGCAATAATACTCAAAAATTACAGTGCATAAAATTTTACTTCCTCAGAAACAATTAGGTACACCTAAAATTTTGTCATTTAAAATGAAATTATAAACAAATTAAAAATGATTACCATACATGCATCGCTACTAAAAAAAAAATCAAGCAACGATTTATTATATTTACACCATATTATATTTTAAGTAGCAAATACGCTTTTCATAATATTACATTACTTCCACAGCGTCATTTTGCTAAGAAGTGTGTGGAATGCAAAACTGAATAATTAATCTGTTCAGTAGACCAGACATCTATTTTTTTTATTCATTTTATTATTTTTTATGAACCATATAATTATAAAATCACATTTCATGCCTCAATTAAATGATGAAAACAAAAGACGTTCCAAGGGAAATACATACTTATACTACTTTCTATTGTTTTCTGTTTATAACTTTCCCTTTGTAACCGCATTATACAATTATTTTGTTTTTTAAATTTCACTAAAGCAAAAGTTAATTTTTACTTGTACCATTTTTTTCAAAAATTAAAGCAGTAACTGAATAAAAAGAATTGCAATCTTTCCCCTTTGTTATATATGCAACATGAAACGTTTCATTTTGGGGAAGGATTGAACGGCTGAGAAACATTCAAATAGTCTTAAAATAATATACATATTCGATATGTAAACAGGGTTTTACAATCTATAAAAAAATAATTCTGCTTGACATTAAAATTTTCGCTTATTTTCTCTTCTATGCACAGCTTGCGTATGGTAATTATGATCTTAAACAGCGAGCAACGTGAATAAATTTAGTTTCAAAAATGTATTAAGCTCCGAAAAGTTAAAACTGTTTAAGTATTTTCAAAATTTAGAACAATTTGATTATTATTTTTTTGTTTTGTTTAAGCACTTCCAAATGAAATTTAAGAAATATCATAAGTATATTAAAGTTCTGATAATTACAGTGAGTTCTATACCGTCACTAAGGGCTTTTTGGTTTTCCTTGCATTGCCATCAATTAAACCTAATGGACAATGGCCCTTTAAAAATCGGATGATTAATATTATCATCTAAATATGAAAAATTAAACTTAAAATTTCTTAAATATTCTACCAGTATTTAACAATAAAAAATTTGTTAATGTTTTGCTATACAAAAAATTTTTTCGAAAATCATCCATGTCGACACAAGCATAATTATATAAAAGCCCTCTGCCCTTCTTGAAGGATTGGGTGGCGATTCCATACCAATGTAAACGGAAACAACAAACTCGAACTCTTGACATGCTCTATTTCCGGTTAGAAAGTATACAGCTGCTTACGACAACTTATACTGAGAGGCTATATTTTTAATAAAAAAGAAATAAATTATAAAATTTCTAAGTTCAAATTTGTTGCAAAAGATATTAAGTAATTTTGATGAGTTTATCTTATTTTATACTCTGTAACCTGGTAATTTTGAATGTACTAGAAATAATACTCAAGGGAGTCTCAAAACAGAATGTTCTCGTTGTGAGCCAAGTGGTTTCAAAACACATCAAAAACATTAATCAGGAGTATGCGGTCAAGAACTTGCAGCGCTTCCTAATGCATACCTGCCAACTTTTAATCCTTTCCATTATAATTTTTCCCAGTGGTATTAAAATTGAATTAAAACTTCGATTTTAAGCTAACAAATACGTTGTATTTGAGAAAAATTAAGTTGACAACCTTGATAGTAACGCATATTAATATATGAGCTTAATTTTTGTAAGAATAGTGGTGATCAAAATCATTTAAAAATTAAATTTATAAAGAAAAAAAATAGTATATATTTACTACCACTTTAAATATGAAAATAAAATCTTCCGGAAAATCCGGAAGAGGTGGCAGGTTTCAGGTATGCTAATGTAAAAACACCATCCATAGAAAAAAAATAGTGAACTTGGTTTGTGTTTTAAAGATTTATCAAATGTTAAATTATCAAGTTCTTGGTATTTTCAATTATTATTTTTGACAGAGCGTTTAACATTATAGCAGTGTAATAGTTTATTACCTTTGCACGTTTGTTAGGATATGGAATTGAAATTTAGTTCCTATTGTTCGCTATCTTAAACAGTAGAAAGTTGGAGTTACTTTCCTCGTCAATGAAAAGCCCGCGTAGGTAAAATTTTTTCATTGGATGAGG